GAGTCCCTGAACATGTTGAGTACTGTTTGATTAAATGTTAGTATATGCTACACATTAATTACATTCAGTAATCCAAATTTAACACAAAGCCTTGTTTACAATAATATCTTGATATATTTGGCCCATTAAACTGCCAATGTGAACTATATAAATTATTTTTGTGCATGACCTCAAAACATTAACATGACAAAGTCAACAAACTACTACTGTGATCAGCTGTAACGCTGGCAGTTTTATAAGAATTTTGCACAGGTTGACATACAAAGCCTAATTTACACTTCAGAAGAAAGGTGTCTTTACCTATTTAAACATTAATGGTTTGGAGACTTCTCCATGGCAACTGCACGCCAAGACAACCGTCCATTTACATTCTTAAGAAGAATTCAGGAGTGGAAGTGCAGTGGAACTCAACAATGGAGAAGATGTTAAAGCTATTTAATGTCAAACAAAAAGTTCAAGAAAAATACCTGCTTACAGAACAAAGAGCTGAACCACACTAAAATGTGCTAAACATCTCTTTAGCCAGCTGATTACAGCTGTGTGATAAAAGTCTTCTAGCACTGATTAAAAATTGAGCAGGCATGCAGTACAGTTCAGCAAACCTTTAGGAGGTTTAAGAGTCTCAGACAGGCTTTAAACCACTCAGTGCTTTTGGTTCATCAACACTTTTCTTCAGAAGAATAAATCAGACTTAACACATACTTAAAATAGGCAACCTCTGTACCTGAATTTGTCCCAGGAGTGGTGTGGAGGTGTAAGAACATCACTTAAAATAGCAACAAAGGCACTACTTTGTTTTTGGATGGTCTGAGAAAATAAGGTTTGTGTTTACAACAGTTTTCCCAGTGGCTAATTTGAATACCACACTTGTTTCAAAATTATCATAAATCAGCAATAAGTTTTATGTAGAAAAGGCTTTTTTTAGTAGAAATAAGAACTTTACATAGTGTCAATGTATCATCTTACATACATATATAAATGACTATGTAAACACATTTGAGGATACACTGACTCTACAATGAGTTAAAAAATGTTAATCCAACTGACTTAATTAGTCCAAATTATGGGTGTATTCAGACCCAATTTACTCAAACAAAGGGTTTCTCTGAGTATTCAAGTCTCTGGTTCGTAAATTCTCTTGAAGCCAAATGGTTTACTGTAAGTACCTAATGTGTAAATACACTTTGTTACCTTGAGCTTTGTGAGTTCATCATGAAAAGTTTTTACTAGTAGTTGCTCAAGTTTCACTTTTGTTAAAATACTTTCATATACTTGCTTGTATCTAAGCGCATTTCACACGACTGCCTCAAGGTCAAATTAAATTACATCTGTTAATCACAAACCTTACTTTACTCATCTCACTCCTCCATTGTAGAGCTGTCACAATTACCTATAAAATAATTAATAAAATGGAAAAAAAAAAAAATCACTGATTACAATGTACCTTTTTGAAGCATTGATAATCCGTTGGCAATTTCACATGCATTATCACTTGATTTTTGTTTATCTTTTCAGTTAAGTATTTTAGAGTGTTTGAAATGCTCTGCATGGTTTGTTATTGTTTAGTTAAGTAATTTTTTTATTGTTTAACATTTTTAAAAGCTGTGATTATCTGATTACTTGTCCAAATAACCATTAGTGACAGTTGTACTCCACTGAAGGGGAAACACTTCCACACCATTTGGAACATCACCAACTATCTCATCAGAGCCAAACTGATTTCTGTGTGTTCTACAAACTCACAAGGAAAAAATATCAAAAACATCCTGTACAGAATATATAAAATTATTAATGCCATGTGTTGACAAACAAAAATGGCCAGACCATATACAGTTAATTTAAAGCTAACTTAAAGCACAATGGAGAGATGTCTGCATGTGTCTAGCAGCTCAGCCAAATTTGTTCGACATCAACATATGCTGATGAACATGTAATGTGTCATTTATGTGTCCTCAATTTATGAGAGACTTTACAGACAAGAATAAATCCCCATAAAACAGAACCCCCTAAAAAACCCACAATGAGCTTTCCTCTCTTCAAGTGCGCACTTTGGCAGAAAGCATTTCATCAAGTTTAATAATAAACTACCTTTGTACAGGAAAAAAAACACATAATACATGCTTTTCTACTGCCTTAAAACATGATACTCTACTTCCAGAACAAATGCACAGCCCCTTTAGTCTTCTCCCTTAGAAGTCTGAGTGCCATGTCTTAATCTCATGAAGACAGACATTTGAGGACTTAAAATCTTTGTACTGAATGTAATATACAAATAACCGGTTTTAACCCTATAATCAATTTACTTCTGTCATCTAAGACAAAGTAATCTCAGCTTGTCCAGGATTTACTTTCCTGATTAACCAATTAGGTATTCTGGGATTTACAATGAAACAATGCCAAGGAAGGAAGGAACACTATAATTTCACTGATCTCCCAAATGTTAACAGTTATAATGAAGTGTAGATTGTTACATTTGAAAATGTGTAATTATGGCATTACTACAATTCACCTGATTACTAATGATAATTGTTTTATAGGCAGAATCCTAGTAATTTACTCATTATTAACTACAAACTTCTGTGATCAGCTAATTGCAGAGGCTGCAATCATAATGATCATACAGGACCATTACAGTAATGTTTGAAGTTTTTACAGCTATTATTTCATTACAATGCATAATGTGTCCATTGCAATTATACAATCATACTCCCTTGTGCTAGACACATCCATTTCCTCTTTATCTACATGTTTCTTTATAAAAAGAGCAGTACAGTCTAGAAGACAGTGGTAAATCCCACCATTATCATAGCAACCATTTAAGGGAACGCTGCAGGATCTGAGACATTACTTCATTTGTGAAGAAGGAAAACAGGTCAAACATCACAAGATGTGAGTATAGTCATGCTGCTAACTAAACACAGTAGCAGGTTTAGATACATTGTGGCAGATTCATAAAATGTGCAAAATGTGTGGCATAGTAAATAAAACCTATTCACTGGTGTCTTTAATGCTATTTTCACCTGTGGTGGGCAAAAGCCAATCAAAATCCACATGTAAATGAGGTCATGCATATTAAACTGAAAGTGACGCTTCAATTGCCTGACAAAACGGACGATGCGTGTCAAATAAAGAATTCTCAGAAACAAAGCGACGAATTTTAAAAGATGTGCTGGCGAGTTTGCTTGGTAAAGATGCTTTTAACTTTTAATCAAGAAACAAAGTTTCTTAAATCAGAAAATTGTTGATACTAGAAAAAAATGACTTCTATAAAGAACTGAACTTTAACATCATAAAATTCAGATTTTAATTGTAGGAATTATATTTTAGCAAGTAAAATTTCATCTCATTGGTTAGAATTCAAGCCATTTTCCAATTCATTATAAATGCAGTAATATTTTAGTAATGATTTAAAATTTAACATGTTAATTTTTTCCACAATTAAACTGACATGCTGAAATTAACTACTAGGGCTTTTTTCCTCTATTTTACTTGATCACATTAATTCAATTTGCACATGTGAATGTTGAAATTCAGCTAGCATATATTAAATTTTTAACTACTAAAATTTAGCTTTGAGTAATTAAAAAACATTCAGTAGTACAAATGTAATTTTTATATGTTTCAATAGAATTTCTTTATAAAAATCCATTATAAATTAAAAATTGGGATTAAAAGCTAAAACTGCTTGCAATAAAGCTAAACGTGCTTTCCATTCACAGGAGGGGGATTCATGAAACATCAAATCTGTCATAGGAAGAAGTGGCCATTTTAAGCATAGTGCCAGTTAAATTTGAATGTGCAAATGAGACAAAAGCACAGCCACACCTCATAACACACAAGCAGTAAAACACACCAGTAATCCTCGTTAATGAATGAGCAAACACATTACAGTAACGCTATTTGCTCTTAACGTCACAGTAAATCTGGTGCTGCATTTTATGAATCTGGCACATCATATTTTACATGTATTATGCAGTAGCAAGTTTAGATTTTACGTCTATTAAGTATTTCTGGAAAATATTTAATTGTAATTTTTCTGAGTAATATGGCAGTGTGCCAGACTGCCAGCTCACAAACTTACTTGTTACTAGGTTAAATCTCCACGTAAAATTTAAGAAAACGTTGAACGATGTAAGATATAATTGAAGTTGTAGCTTCTCCAATTTGAAAATTGCACTTTCAATTTTTTTTTGAAAATAAGTTTTTGGTATAAAAACAATTAATCTTTCATCCCTACATTTATTCTTTTAACAGATGCTCTGATCAGGAGCAAGTTAAAAAAAAAAACCTGTCAATTCCCTTCAAGGGAATAAACAAGGAATTGTGCATTTGTTCCGTCACATTATGAAATAACACTATCTTTCTTCAAAAACTCATAAAAAAAATCTCAAGAATTTACCTTTAGGCTGAGTGATGAACACAGGTTAAAACAGACATTTATTTGAATAAGGGAACTCCACCTAATGCCCTTAGTTTGCCAAATGCTAAAAGCCTCTCTGATCCTACACAGCAGGGAAACTTAATCAGCAGACGGCAGCTTGATTCATTCCAGATAAATTCTTACCACAGGGCCAGCCTGCTGCTGGGTCTGTATATTTGGAGGCACGATCTCTTCCAAGAATTTACTTTATTCAAATTGATGCTTTTCCAGTGAAAGCCTTTGTTTCAACAAAACTGGACAGAAACTAGCTGGTTCAGAAGGACGCTGAATTTTCCTTAGAGCTATATGTAACCTTTAAGCCCTTCAGGATGAAAATAGGATTTGAAAGCCCCCTGTGCACCCAAAACTGACTGGCTCTGTTTGGTGAAAGTATCTGGGCAATTTAAGCTGCCAGTGACTTGAGGCACTCTAGTTCAGCACCATCTGGTTCTTTTAGATGGACAAAGCCAGCAATAAGCTCAGATGTTTTTTGAGTGAAGGTGGAGGTCCCTTTTAAGATGTTGTTACAAGGTTAAGAGCAGAAATATAACAAGTAAGGAAAAAGCAGAGGGTGACTTACTCCGGTTTAGCACCAGATATCAACAGGGCACTGATGCACTCCATGCTACCTGCCCTTGCAGCCTTATGGATGGGTGTTTCACCCACATAGTCCTGGAAGCACACAAGTGAATGTTAATATTTACATATCATATATCCAGAATATCACTGTACAAATTTTTTTTTAGCAAATGTTTGCTCCAAACATGCAAATCAGTCAGTTTCTGTACATTTTGGCTGATCTATATTGCAATTTAATTATATAAACATACATATTAGATAAGAGCATTCAGGCTATACTTGAATGCTGCTGCTACAGCCATACAAAAACATTGTCATAATTCACATGCATGCAAATAATCCTATGATGCAATTTTGGACAACAGAAAGTGCTGAAAAGTGCTAATATATTTCATATGTTTATTTAGCCCACAATGTGAGCTTCACAATTAAGATAGGGATGAGTCAGAATATTTGAATATTCAAATAGTCATTAAAGTTTAGGAAAAAGAAAAAAAATATATATCGATAGATAGATCGATAGATAACTTTATTAATCCAAGAGGGAAATTGTTTCATTGCAGCAGTACAAAGCACAGGAAGGAGTAACACAAGAGCAAAATGAACAGGAGCAAAGTATTGCTGTACACTATTTCCAGATGTATAAATAGAAAGAGATGAATAATAAAATAAAACAATAAAATAATGTGCAGTACAAAACTAAGAAGTATACTGTATAAATACTATTCAGTTGACAATGCAGTGGTGCATGTCCCCTCCAGTGAATTAACTAGTGACTATACACTGTAACGATAATTTATGTTAACAGTTGTGCAATATGACATTTATAGATGCATAAACAAAGTGACAGTGCAATGTGCAATATTTGTAGACAAATAGACAAAATGCAATATGAAATGTCTAAATGTACAATCAATATGTACAATAAAACAATTCAAAATAAATACATAAATAAACTCATTGCATCTTTTCTCACCCCAAGGCACAAACACTCGAGATTCAGTACAGATGTAGTTAAATGTGCCGATGTAGTTAAACGTGAAACAACTTTAAGACCATCTTTTAGCTTTCAGCAGTGTGAATGTGGATGAGAGCCCTGCACCTAAAATGAGCCAAACAACTGAGCTGGTGGCCGAGAAACCAAAAACTTTGCCACAGCCGTCCGGTTCAGCAACGATTAAAACACAAAAATAATCACCTCAAACAGAACTTCAACACTACTCAACACATTACTCTTCAACACAACTGCAAGGACACATGCATACTACTTCAAGTGTGCCCCCTGAATTGGTGGAAAGTGAATGAGAACAAGTACCTATGGCTAGCACAGCTAGCAAGAGCCTACTTACAGAATACTGAATTTGTTGGATATTATTTGAAAAATGCTGTGAAAAACCGAATATTCAATCTAACTAAAATGCCTATTCCTGATAGAAATTAAAAATGAATGATCGTGCATCCCTGCCGAACACCATGTGGGGGATAATGTTACAGTAAACACGCTTGTCCCATACGTGTCAACCCATAGTTTACCCTTCTAAAATATATTTTTCCCCACAATTTTGAAGGTATAAGCCTGGGACACGGGACATCTAGTATGTAGTATGGTTTTGCCCACATACAACTAATATCATAAACTCTGTCGGATTCAGATTTGTTTTTCTTCTTTTTATTTTATTGCCCTTTCTAAATGATGTGGCCACATTATGGGTGGTGGTGTACTGATTTAATTGAAACGTTGTCTCCAGCATGCTCATACGAGACGTTCTGTTCTGTCAGCTAACAGTAGAACCTACTCTCGTGCTCTCTGTGCTGCCCATAATGTCTGTATATTTAACTATGTAAGAGAGACAGCTGGTTACTAGAGGAATGTTAGTAAAGAAAATCCATTAAAATCATTATGATTTAATGTTAGAAATGTTCTATTCGGGTATGTTTATACAGTTTTGGAGCCTGTGAATATACAATATACTTTCTCTGGAAATTGGCATCTATGTTGTCATAATCTGGACAGCCAACATATCCTGGAAAATATTCAAGATGTTACTGCTTAATTTACATCTCTATATTTCACATTCAATCTTCGATACTGAACTCGTCAAAAATATTAAATAAATCAAATACTCAACTAAACAGTTAAACATATACAACATGTTTATTAATTACAATTATCTCACTGGCTTTAAAACTAATCTTAAAAAATTGGATGTACATCATATTGCTTAAGAGCATAAGGCCACACTTTACTGAATAAAACTCTTCACCTGTATGTTTCAGATATACTAACATCTCTGCCCATCCGCATTAAATCAGCATCTGCAATTCAATGCGCCTATAGGCAAAATACATCAGTGTACTGTTAGCCTCCTTCAATAAAGTTTTCAAAGTTAGAATATTGAATTGTTTGCCATGTAGTAGCATTAAAAGAACTGTGCAACACAAGTCCACAGTCTGATAAATAATTTATAAAACTCTGACACAACACTGTCGTTCAGAGTGCATTCAGAAGCAGCAGCTGTCATCTTAATGTGAGCAGAACATTTAGGAGACAGAGCCAGTGCCCATGAGGGAGAGAGTGAACTCTTAACCCTAACTCAAACACTCCCTCTAGGGGCAGGAATACAGACACGCTGAACTGGTAGCTCTTCAAAAACAGTGGATAACGCAGCAGAATGTAGGTCACACTGCACAATTATAGCAGACTCACTGCTGCAACAGGGATACCTCCCCCTAACAGTCCCATAGTAACCCTCATGCTAACCTCCTTACACAAAGTGAATTTGCCCCCGCAACCCCCCTCCCCCATCTGTTTTAGGGGCCTGCCATTCATAAGCTGCCAGATGTAGATAAATAGATATTTTCATACATACATACATACATACATACATACATACATACATCTAAACCGCTTATCCTTCTGGGTCGCGGTGGGGTGCTGGAGCCTATCCCAGCTGTCATTGGGCAGAAGGCAGGATACACCCTGGACAGGTCACCAGTCCATCGCAGGGCAGACAGACATACACAATCACACACTCACTCACACCTAGCGGCAATTTAGCATGTCCAATTAGCTTAACTGCATGTTTTTGGACTGTGGGAGGAAACCGGAGTACCCGGAGGAAACCCACACAGACACAGGGAGAACATGCAAACTCCACACAGAAACGACCCTGGTCGCCCAGCCGGGAATCAAACCCAGGCCATTCTTGTTGTGAGGCGACAGCGCTACCCACTCCGCCACAGTGCCGCCCCTTAAATAGATATTTATATAAATATAAATATAAAGCCAGATACAGGTTGCATTCCTTTAGTCATTTGTTATTGCAGCAATACGAACACTTGAGGAGGCATTATCATCGCAAACATCATGGCTATACATCTTTCCAGCTAAAGGAAAAAAGAAGGTTATCAAAGAAGCCCTGAACATTATTTCAAATGTATTAATGCTGTCTGAAAGAAAGTTAATAGAAAAGAAAAAATAAATAACATTCTCAACGTATAATGGAAGACATTTCCCATGTCATTTTGGACTTTTTCCATTGGTTCACCAGAAAAGCTTTACTAATTTTAAGGGCAGCTGGTGTGTGCAATTATTAAAATAAATAAATAAATAAACACACACACACACACACACACACACACACACACACACACACACACACACACAACGACTATCAATACTAAATTTCTTCTGCCTAAAAAAGTAGTTCCACCAAACCAATTAGCCATTGTTGTTGCTTAGCAACTGGTGGTCAGGAGAATGATAAAGGTATGGAGAAAAATGCTGTGAAGTTATCAAATACAGGTTTGAACACCTTCCTACCAATTGGCTTGTGTGGTCAGAACTAAGTGCTGAACACACTGCAGCATAAAGTTGGGCAATATGAGGATATTCATAATGATAAATTACATCACTATACACTGTTTTTGAGCAAATGGTGGATATCAGTACTTGAGGAACAGTAAACAACTGCATGTTTCATTACAAACAGCATAATTAGATTTAAGGCAGTATTGTTGGTAAAACATTAAATAAAAATGACTGTATTCATAGTTTTTGATAATGTTTTTCTTAAACATGGCACCCTTTGTTCTTTTTTGGCCATTCCAACTTATGAGATATCAGAAAAAAATTGGGGGGAGTAACGCAATGTATTTCCACCACATCACCCAGCCCCATCACAACACCACAGTACAGGATTTGCATCGTATTGGCATTTTGTTTTAGCATGTATTGTATGATAAGAACATGACCTGGCTAACAATGATATGTCGTTAGTAATTCTGAGTTAACCTTTTTCACAATTTTCAACTGTGTATTTTGAGTTTGTCCATGCCCGACTCTGAGAGGTATCTTCCAAAGTTCATAGAGCTGTCAGTCAATGTCAGGTCAGGATGATCCTGTGCAAGAGGATCAGCTTGGCAGAGATTTACACTGATCACCGTAAAGCAGACAAAGGGAGGATGGAGGTGAGATTTTGCTTAGCTGGGTTTTTGGGTGCTTGGTTTGCTCAGGCATTACTTCCTGTTCGGAATGTTTGTGGATTAATCAATCAACTAATTGATCTGCAAAATACGCAGTAACCCTAAAAGCTTTCTGAGAATGTTTAATCCTGCTGTTCCTTTGACATTAACATGTCAAACTACCTTTTGGATATTGTGCCTTAAAGATCATCTTATCTAACGTATGTTTTTGTGATACATTCAGTGTCTGCCTAGCACGTCCGCATTCATGTCTACATCGGTCATCATAAAATGGATCAGCATGTGGTTTTGGAGCTTTCTGTGTGCTACCATTTTATCGCCATTATCATGCTGCCTTTATTGTTGGACGCTCTGCAATAATAACAGACATCTGAAGCAGGACAAATTCCTATTGATATGTTTGCTTGCTCAAATTGGTTTGTGACATCAAAATAAGCAGGACATCAAAAGGAACCACACTATTAAAGGAGAACAGTAGATTGCAGGTTAAAGAAATATTAAGAACAAAATACTATTTTTTATGGAAACTCATGTTATGCGCGTAATTGATCATACAGCATAAACTGTGGAAACAGTATATATCATATTTCTGTAACACTTCCCAAAATAGTTGTGATAGGGGCAATTTAAGACTAGAAACGTTGTGAAATGTTAAAAGAAAACTCTTAAACAGGTGATACAATCACGCTTGGGTATGAAAGGAGCATCCAGTAAGATGTCTGGTCTGTTACGAGCAAGGACGGTCAAGACTTACTACGATGCCAAAAAATCTAAAAGGCATCAAAAGTTTCAGATGACCCCTCTGGGCTCAAGCTCATCTAAAATGGACTGACTCACAGTGGAAACATGTATTGTGGTCTGATGAGTCCACCTTTTAGATTATTTATGGAAATAATGGACATTGTGTGCTCTGGGCCAAAGAAGAAAAGGACCGTCCCTATTGTTACCAGCATAAAGTTAAAATGCCAGGATTTGTCATGTTATGTTGGGGCATTAACAAGTAACTTGCACATGTGAAGTCACCATTAATGCTGACGTACAAATTTCTTTTTCAAGGTCCTTAGTTTGATGTTTACAAACTTTTTAAACGCTACATTCAGTAGTTCAGCATTATATATTAGACTTTATTTCAACTTTTTTTCTCCATACATGCAATGGTTAGACGCCAACCAATTATTTTTGGCAGGCCTGTGTTGCGGTTTTATAAAGTAAATAACGACAGGCACTGAATGTAAAATGCCAGTTTGGCCAATTAATGAGCAAATAAAATGTATGTGTATATTGGAGACAGGCTGGTGGCATGTCCACGTAAAAGTGTGTAGTAATTTAAGTATTGATTTTTCTGTTTTATGTTATGTAATGTGTTTTTGTGGGAACAATGATATATATATTGCTGCCTATCTTGGCCAAGACTCCCCTGTAAAAGAGACTTTTAATCTCCATGAGATTCTTCCTGGTTAAATAAAGGTAATAATAGAGAGTAATGGAAAATGGGTGCTAGTGGGTTTCATGTGTTCACTTAGCTCACACAGTGTGAGCTTAGAAGAGGAAGTGGGTAGTTAGGTAGTTACGTAGGTAGATAAAGAGACAGATAGCCAGATAGACAGACAGACAAATAGATAAACTGCAATCAGCTATAAAAGTTTGCGATCGGTGCATCTCTACTTCAGATATACTTATAAAAATAGTCATTACTCATAAGTAACAATATCATATTGTCCACCTCTACCCATCACCACTGTTATCAGTACAGTGACTTATGAGATCACCCACCTGTCTGTTGATATCAGCACCAGCCTGGAGGAGCCATAAGAGGCACTTTGGGTGACCTCCAAAGGCAGCGATGTGTGCCGGAGTCTGTGCAAATCGGGATGTGACCGCGTTCACCTCACAGCCCACCTGCACCAGCCGCAACACACACTCCAGCTATAGATGAAGGGAGAGAAATACGGAGACATTTAGTGTTGGTACTTTCTAACAGGGATTAGAGCCAAAGTCCTCAGACAGGCGGCACCATATAACGAAACACGCAATGGAAGTCTGACCTTGTGAAAACGCCCAGAAAAAAAAAATGGCGGGAAACGGTTTTAACCACCAGGGACTTGCCATAATTCAATTCTCATGAGATAAAGTGATAAGGAAAGGCCTAATTATAGTATTACTGTGACAAATGGGACCTAAACTGAGGGTGGCTTGTGCAATTTTAACCACTAAACACAAACACAACTCAAGCTCCTTGTTTTCCAGCCACAATAGTGAAATGTATTTGAAGCTCTTATTTCAGTCATGCTCTGATTGGCTACAGTTGTTTGAGGCTCCTGTTTCTTGGCCGTGTATCGCTGCATGGCTTCAGCAGCTGTTTTGTTGTTTTAGTTTTGAAAGCCATGGTGACTCATCGCCTAGTCTTTTGGCCCTGCTCTCCCACCACCGCATACAAACTTTCCAGCATGAGAGACACTTTCTGCAGACAAACATACGCACATCTGCCAAACTCCTCCTCTCTGATCTGCATACACAGACAGCAGAAACGTACAAAACATCTGCCCAAAAAGTCTGGCTGAGACATGAGATGCTGATTCATGTCTCCTCCTCCATACATTACTTTGACAATAAGACTAAGTGGACAAACAGCGGCCTTGAGAGCGGTCCTATTAGCCACAGATGTCATGCTGTAAAGGATGTACACATCCTTGATGTGAGATTTACACAGAAAATTAACAGCTGCAAAGTCACATTTAAAAAGAAAAGCACAAAGAAAGCATGAAAATATGTAACTAAACAAAAGAATGCAACAAGTTTGTGATTTGCACTGTTTGGGAAGCAGACTCCCACTTAGCCTTGAACCATGCCACACTTTTCACTGCTATTTTCACTTGACTCTGCTCAGGGAGTTTCTGTGGAAACTTCCGTTAGGGATGAAGACTAAAAATAGTTACAGGCTGCTGAAAGTGATCATAAAGAATGTGGGCAGTATGACATACTGGCATAACAGTTCTGAATAAGTCTTTGTTTCTTCTTCACTTTGTTTACTCATCTACACAATATGTCCAAAGGTTGGTTACACCTGCTCATACAACGTTTCCTCTGAAATTAAAAAGGTATTAATATGGAGTTTGCCCTCCTTTGCTACAGTAACAGCCTCTACTCTTCTGGTAAGACTTTACAGTAGATGCAGACTGTTGGAACACTGCTGTGAGGATTTGATTGCATTCAGCCACAAGAGCATTAATGAGGTAAGGTACTGATGTTGAAAGATCAGTCCTGGATCACAAACTCATTCCAAAGGTATTGGATGGAGCTCCAACACTCCAGGATACACAGTTCCACTGCTCCACAGTCCACTGCTGGGGGGATTTGTACCCCTCTAGCAGAAGCGTGGCATTATGCATAGTGACCTTAGGCTCATGTGCAGCTGCTCCAGAGCATCCACTTCTATTAACAGTGCTTTTCTTGAATGCCAGTATTAGCAATGGGTGCAGCTGGTGCTCCTGAGTGGCACAACTGGTTTTATGAACCAAACAGGTCACTCTGCTCCTCTGGCACTATTCTACTTGTAGTTCTCAGGGCACAGACAAACACATAAAAAGGCAGCTTTTAGCATATACCGCCCTCGCCTTTGGAATATCGTGCCAGAGAGCTTGAGGGCATTTTTAAACTGAACCTTAAGTGTTACTTTTTCAACAGCACTTTTACTTTATAATCCTTTCATTCCAATATTTTGATTTTATTTTTAATTAGATGTTTATTAGGGCTGTACAACTATTTTATTTTATAGTTTAATATCTTAATTTTTTATAAAAACAAAGATTTGATTGATTGAACTGTCTAAGCATTGGCTCCATCATTCTCTCTCTGGCGATGCCCCAACCCTCCATGGTCAACAGTCCAAGAGAGTACAAATGGCCTCACACTCCCTGGGTGGGTCCAGCACAACATTAGATCACTTCTTACATTCACAGTAATGACATGTTAAGCAACACATTTCTTGTTATGAGTAACAAGTGCTGTCCTCAACGAAACACACCAATGTGTCTAGTTAAGGACACAATGTGTTTTTAGTGGTTTGATGGGAAATGCTCTGATATATAATAAACACAGTCAGAACTGGCCACACAGTTGATGGTACGAACACTGGGCTTAAAGGGGAACAATTTTTTTTTAATTCCACATAATTAAATTATTGAGATGTAAACAAAGTCATTCAGAGTGGTTTGGTGTGAAATGCTCCGTTCTACATAAACTTGCTGAGCCGGAATTATTCACAGTGGTTATGATAGGAGCCAGATGTCCACTTCCTAAAGCTCCCTCACAGAAAGTTAATACATGACATGGTTATGAATACACTGTCTGATGTCTGACACATTGATTTATGTAGCTTTGTGATAAAGTTTTGGCATAAAATGCATTTGGATCCATTCATTTTAATCCATTCAAGGCGGAGGGATACATGCAGGGCATTGTAAGGCAAAACAGTCTCCAAAAAAATTTTTTTTTTTCAGATTTATGTCTATTCCATTGTCAACATTACATATATAAACTCGAAAGGCATGTGCAGGTTCATTGGTTTTGGATCGTGAATAAAACAGCTATAGACAGACATTGTGACCCCGTGGTTCCTATCACCACCACTGTAAATAAAGTCAGTAAGTTTCTCCTCAATTCATCAAACCACTCTGAATGACTTTACAACTCAAGGACTGAATTATTCAGAAATTTTCAAAAATTGGTGGAATTCCCCTTTATGTTGTCTGGCTGTATCAGTAATTCTGCTTTGTGAAAAAAGCAAACAAACAGTAAAAAGGTCAGTGTTTGAGACTCAGGGGTCAAAGGGCCCCTTTTTAAACGGCGGTTTTGGCGCCTCGCCTCTCATTGGCTCCCGCTCAGCCAATGATCGACTCGCTTTTGCTGCGCGCGCGCCCACCTGGAGACCGACTCGCCGGTCTGATCAAGTTGATTTTCCCCATCGGTCTAAACCGCAGCGTCAAAACTTACCGGCCCACTAACATAATACGACACGTTTTCACACTTCCAGCATAACAATCCCACCTCCCGTTCACTTAAAGCTAAGCACAGAGCGCTCGGAGGCAAATACGAAGAAAATCCCGCTCGCGTCCATGCAGCTGATGCTCTAACGTTCATTTGAACACGACTCGGTCAGCCGGCGAGCGGCGGTTAAACAGGACTCTTCCCGGTTCTGGGCCTCGTCGACCAAACGATGTGGTCCCTCAGGTCTGTTGCTGAGTTTGGCTAACGCAGGCCAGCTGAAACCGCCAACCGCGATGTGGACAAACCTGCAGCTTAACGCGAAGCTGGAGTCAGCTTCTCACTCGAATTTCTCCGTTCCACCTTAAATGGTGCAGCAGTTACCCTCCGGCGCCTCAGGTTGGGTGTAACTGCTGTACGCACAACTGCTACACCATTTAAGGTGGAACGGGAAAATTCAAATAATAAGCTGACGAATAGGAAACCGACTTCAGCCTCGTCTGCCCAACTTGCGCCTCACACGTCGAGTCAACGTGAAAGTTTAAAAAACACTAAAATCCCCCTTTAACGTCACTTTTGCTAACGCGACTCTAACCGTTACCGTTAACGCTAGCTACCTTTCCGAAGTGGGCCGCCCAGTGAATGGGCGTCCAGCCGTAGAAGGAGTCCTCGGCGGCCAGGTCCTCCGGGCTGGCGGAGCACTGCTGGAGCAGCGAGCACAGGGCGCCCACGTCCCCGTCCCTGCAGGCGCGGTGGATGGGGAAGCGAATGTGGAGCAGCTCGTCGTTTGAGAAGCCGGACTCGACGCCCACAGACATGGCCGTGTAACGTCTGCTCAAACTGAGCTGCGTGGAAACTAAACAAAAAATGGAGCTTTCCTGAACACGCCGATCAGGACCCAGCGAGGCGTGGACTTAGAAAACCCCTACCGCACAAAAAACACACACACACCAGACAAAACACTCCGGGACACACACAGACAGACACACGCTCTGGAAGTGTAACTTGAGTGGCCGCGTGTAAAACCCGGAGCGGATTTTCAACTCCGCATCACGGCCTCTAGTGCAGTAGGGGCTAAAGGCAGACATGGAACACACACGATGGATTGGAACTCCAATGCTGCTAAACTAATGTCCAATCGAAATCTAAGCTCCCCTACATTGTTTATGCTACGGAGCCTCTAAGGTGACATATTGATTATTGTTTAATATGTTAAAGCCACAAATTACTACACTGAGGCCTGAATTTACTATAATTGAGGCCATGAATTACTGTTGAGGCCACAAAATGCTATAGTGAGAAAACAAATTACTATATTGAGGCCATGAGTTATGAGAAATTTAACTTGGGGCCTCAATGTATTAATCTGTGGCCACACCTTATTAAAAACGAATCACCATGTCACCTTAAGGTCTCTGTAGCACACAGTCCATTTAGGGAAACTACATAAAACATAGCAGTTTTCCATGATACAGTCCCTTTAATAGATTTACTAGAGCTCAAAGGTGAGAGGTATAGACACCAGCATGGAAGTGACCAAACAGAAAAAAACGAGCACACTTATCCAAAAAAAGGAATCAGGAACTATGAACACGAAGGACTAAAATAACACTGAGTAAAAAGTAGATTCCCTTCTCCACACACATAGTTGAACAGACGCAAAATAAATAAATAAAAACATTTGAAAGTAATCAGAAAAGTTCCAGTCAACCAAAAGTTTCCTTAAGAAGATGTAACTGAGTAAGTGTAACTGGGTTCCACCCACCTCTGATGGTCAGTGGCACAAGGCGCTAGTTTCTGTAAGTATTAAATCTTTGTGCAGGTCAGAGCTTCAAGCCTGTACAGTTACACATTCATCACAACACAAACTCCAAGAAGACTGAAGATGGGTCAAGCTAGCACTTTATTATCAAGAAAAAATGTGGACTTGTTAGCATTACAGGGCAGAGGGAATTTTGGCCCACAATCTCTACAGCACTTGTCTATGGGCCTAAAAGGCCCATGTCCTACACTATAAATTTTAGGCCCACTTATGACATTTTTGTACCAAAACCAGTCATGTTTCATTTTTATATGATGATTTTCCCATCTCTCTTCATCCCCTATGTAACAGGCTGTTATTTTACTTTGAATTTAAGACTGATATGTAAATGAGCTCTGTTCTGATTGGTTGCCATGCATTGTGCCTCATTCAAAAAGTAGTCTGTGTTTAAACACTCCTCCTAACTTCAGTGTGAGTGGGCGGGGCTAAACTGCTATAGGCTGAATAGGTGGATACATGTAAATGACATCACAAAAACAACAAATTAAAAAATGGGCTGTTTTTGCATCTTAGTTTAATAAGATAAACCCAACAGAACCTGGTCAGCTTTCTTAGTTGGTCCAGTCCCTCTCATCTGAGTGAGATTTCATAATACAAGCAAGAGTAGTCAGAGAAATGGAGATGAGCCCAAATGATAATACAGGCCATCCTAATCCAGAGTGTGAGGGATCTGTCTCCTCAGATACACAGAAACAAAGGCAATTTCACAGGCATTCAAAAGGATGGATGCCACCAAACCCATCAGAGGCATTGTCTGCTCAGGCTCAGCTGCGTTAAAGATCTCATTTAGGATGAAAGAGAATTATCTGTGTACTAGGACAAGAAGAGAAGACAAAGAAGCAACATTTCTCAAAATGTAACTTTTATTAATCAGTTACATTTTAGCATGTAGGACTTCAGTTATCACTAATATACATCATCTAAACCGTTTATCCTTCTGGGTCGCGGTGGGGTGCTGGAGCCTATCCCAGCTGTCATTGGGCGGAAGGCAGGTTCCCTTTTAATGTAAGGAGCAATTTTTGCTAGTTTAAAATATATATTAAATTAACATTTTGACATGTTGAAATTCAAATAGACAGTTTTACTTTTACATGTTGAAGATTCAGTTTTCAAAGGTAAGAAATGAATTTGGAAATATGTAAACTTTAACTATTAAAAATTCAACATTTAATTTTTACTTTTGCAAATATCCCATGTCGAAATTTACTTCATGCAAGTAAAATTGTTCCTCTCATTAAAATGGACTGGGAAAAGCAACGAATTCTTATTAGTGTGAACTCAAATCTTACATGCTGATTTCTATAAGTAAAGAATTTCAATGTTAGAATTTTGTATTTCATGTTTTTACTACTACAAATAACATTTTAATTTTAATCTAAATTAAATTTCGGATATGACAATGTGGAATGAAAGACAAAGGGGCTTAAAAATAACACATACAAACAGTTAATATGTTTGTATCTGAATGTCACTTGACAGAACAGATAGCAGACTATGAAGGAGAACTCCACCAAGTTTTCAAAAATTCCACATAATGAACTGGTTAAGATGTAAACAAAGTCATTCAGAGTGGTTTAATGTGAAATTTACAGACTCAGAATTGTTCACAGTGGTGGTAAATGGAACCAGACATCTGAAAAGTTTAAGGCCTCTCTTTTACATGAAGTTGTTAGATGAAGTGGTTAGGTAAATGCTGTCTGATGCCTAAGACATTGTTTAATGATAGTTTTGTGATAAAGTTTTGGCTGAAAATGTATTTTAATCAATTTATTTAAATTGACTCATGGTGAAGGGATACAAACAGGGGGTTATGAGGCAAAATAGTCCACAAAGAAAACTTTTTTTTTTTTTTTCAGATTTATTACTATTTTACCATAATCAACATTACATATAAAAACTCAGAAGACTCAGTGTAGCTTCATTGGTGGTTTAGGATAGTAAATAAAATGGCTATATATGTGTTGTAGACACTGTGACCCCTGGTTTCTATCACCACCACTGTAAAGAAAACGTTTCTCTACAACGAACCACTTCACATCAAACCACCCTGAAACACTTTGTTTCCATCTCAAGGACTGAATTGTGGAGACGTTTTGAAAAATTGGTGGGATTCCCCTTTAAAGTATCGTTATGTGACTTACTGATCTCACATCTGAGTCAGGACTACTTATCGATTTTAACCCTCATCGCTGGCTGGATTAGCCCTGTGTCTTGTTCCTCTGAGCGGCAGTGTTGAATTGTGCTGCTCTAAAAACACTGAAAAGAACCGCCGTGAATCTCCAGCAGAGGGCGCCACAGAGCTCCATTAACCCGCTCAGCCTAAGACACCGTGAGAGAAACGCTGTGAATGCTGGTAGATATTTAACCGTCAACGTTTCTCAAAATGAAAGCGTTAGACGCCACTAAAGTGTCGCCTTTGAGCTCGACAAGAGAGGTACATATCACTGTCCGTGTCCTTTTGTAGGGTTTTCACTCTCAGACAGCGGAGAGACTCACAGTGTCACTTTATTTTGGATAGTTCAGGTAACGGTGGCTAACGCTAACTCAGCTAGGTTAACTGAAGTTAAATGGGGATTAATTTGACTAATTTAGCTACCAAATACACCGCAGACAAGGTGAACTCTCTCTTCTAAACTAGAGAAGCACAACCAAAGTAGCCAGTTTCTACAAAACAACACAATATTTAAATGTTGTGAAACAAGAAAAAATGAAGTCTAACGTAAGCTGACGTTAAAGGACCAAGGTCCCACAGTCTGTGTTGTATTTTGTTTTATTTCCTTGTGTTCTTATTTTTGTCGTTTTATGTACTAAAAAAGTGGTGATAAATGTTTGTTACTATGCATTTTTAAGGGCTTATATAAAAAATAAAGTAAAATTAATTCCCCTTGTTGCTTTTTTGAAAGGCACGAGTTTGAAGTAGTATGTAAACACTAATACAGTTTCAAAACATAATTCCTTAACTCCCCAGTCCTGACAGTATACACCCCCCTATTCACGCTGAAGTTATCAGGGGTGTTTCAGCTCAGACTGCTCTATGAACAAGGCACAACACAGGGCAGACAATCAGAAGAGAGCTCATATTATCAGTCTTAAACAGTACAGTAACTAAAACAATCTGTTTAATTGAAAAGGTTAATAAAGATAAAATACAAGAAAAATATATTTAGGAGGGGCGGCGGGCGGGTGGTCAAGAAAAATGTACGTAAGTATTAAAAGTGGACCTCAAGGGAGAAACATTAAATGGGAGCTTTAAGACTGGTGTATGTTTGTTAGCTCTGTTCTGATTGGCTACCCTGCATTGTGCATTACTCAGAAAATCTGAGCTGAAACACCCCTTATAACTTCAGCAGGAGTGGGCGGGGCTAAACTGTTGTAGGCTGAATGGGTGGATATATGTAAATTTGAGTTTTTATGACATCACAAAACACTGAATTAAAAATGAGCTGTTATCTGTAGCTTATTTTCCATATATGGACTGTGTGGACTGAGGAGTGAACAGTATGTCTTGAAACTTCATTAATGTTTACATGCTACGTGAAAATCATTTATTTGATTAAAAAAAAGGGAGGAAATTTTGTTTTTTCATTGTACAGCCCATTTAAGTTAGTATGTAAGCTTTCTACATAAATGCAGAATTGAGAATACAGTACAGCATATTTAATTAAGGTTTTGACACAACTTAAGTGGGACAGCCTGGAGCTAAAATATTTGTTTAATTGAAGTTTAAACGTGTATATATGGCGGTAGATTATACTTACTATTGAGTTCAAGTGTCAAGGCCTTTGTTTTCTTGTTACTTCTTGCAGTCGATACTCAGAGTCACCACTAGATGTCAGTATTGTTTCAGTTTGTTCCTTAAAATACTCATTGACCAGTGAAGAGTGATAGAAGCCAGAGAGGATAACCTTCATCAGTGTTTCAGTCCCACAGTTTTCACACATTTTCACTGTTTTTCCTGCTGTAGTTCAAGTGATTCAGCAAAAGGAGGTTTTGGTTGTGAGTTAATGATGTAGGTCAGGTGCAGGAACTGAAAAACACAGATCTATCATCACTCTTTTGATGTGGACGGTTTTGATCTTCTCATTACAACACACGTTTTTAATTTGCACTGTCTTTTGTAGGATTTAGGAGGAGACTGTTTTGTCAGAGTCAGAAAAAGGGACTTGGAGAGACTGTCTACAGAGGTCATGCAGCTCCGAGAGTTTCTGCCAAAGGTTATTAACAGAGAATTTATCGACTCCCTGCATAAAGCACGATCTTTAGAAACACGTAAGTCAACCCCCCTCATAGTCATACACTGCAGGAGAACAGTTTGGAAGCCAGTTAATTAAATAAGCATGACAAGAAGAGATATTAAAATGTCTGCATAATTCTGCTGGTTGAGATGTAAACAGAGTCTTTCAGAGTGGTTTGATATGAAATGGTTTATTGTAGAGAAACTAGGGGTCGCAAAACAACCAGTAAACCTAAACATGTCTCCTGAGGTTTTATATGTATTGTTGATAAAATAGTGGAAAATTTGGAAAGAAAAGTTTTCTTTTGGTTCTTTTTTTGCCTTATCACATCCTGCATGCACATCTCTCCGTTAATGACTTTTAAAAATGCATTTTAAGCCAAAACCTTCTCAAAGCTGTTGTGAAACTACATCTCAAACATCAAGCAGCAAATTTGTAATCATTTTATGTAATAACTTTCAGTAAGAGACCTTTCAGAAGCATTAAATTCCTCACACATCTGGTTCCTATCGCTACCACTGTGAACAATTTTGACTAAACTGTTAACAGTTCTGATAAGTTTTTCTAGAACGGTGGAAAATCACTGGAATTCCTCTTAAAATGTCTGCAGTAATAGAGTACAACTAAGTTATTTCCTCCTTAGAGCTGCGACTTATTCTTCAGGATTTTGTTGAGTTTTACCTGATCAGATCCACCTGATTGTCCTATTCAGAAGCTCCTGAAGCCTTTATGAACTCAATCAGGTGTAATAAATCAGTGTAAGGAACAGTTATCAACAAAGGCTGTGAGAGTTTTTCCAGTATTATGTACTAGAATATGAATGTGTCACTGCAAACTAGTACAATATTTACAAAAAACATCTTTGGTTAAAATAGATGTCACTAAACATGTCATGTCATGTTGTGTTGGTTATTTAATATAGTGAACTTAAGGTGTATTTATCTAATGGTCTACCATTATTGGCCCCTCGTGAAATAATGAAAGAGTAAAGAACGTAAGTGGACTGTTTCAGCTTGAAAACAAGAGCAGCTAAATATCAGTGTGCTCCCAAAACAGATGTTAAAAACAACACATGTTGTGTTTATCTAGGCATGTTCATTAGTTAATTACAACACACGATATGTTACTTTTAACACAGCTTGTGTTAACACATTTGTGTGTGCAGTTCAGGTTAACACAGAAAGCAGTGGCACCAAATGTGTTAAACACATCACAGAAGGTGTGCAGTTAATTAACATGTGAGAAGGCTTTTGTCTTTCTACGTGTTTCAAAAAGGCACGTATTATTTGTCCTTTAGCCTTTTTAATTCAGAATCAGCACTGCGCTGGGGTCTTAGCTCTCAGCAGCGCTGTAAACTATTTAAACAAAGACATGGATCGAATCTGAGATACAGCACAATGTTATGTCACCATCACATAAATGGAATGCAGTTACGTGAGTTAAGACACTTATGAAGCTCCACTGCTGTAGTTCGTTTAGACTCTGATGCTTTACCACTTCAAGCATTGCTTTCATGTGAAATGTTTCTTTGTACATTCTTTGGGACATTAATTTTTTACAGTGGTGGTGATAGGAACCAGGGCTCATGATGTCTACAATGCAAATATAGTGATTTTATTTACTATCCAAAACCACCAGTGAACCGACACGTGTCTTCTGAGTTTAATACATAATGTTGATGATGGTGAAACAGTGATAAATCTAAAAAAAAAGGTTTGTTTTTTTTAAAACTGTTTTGCCTTACAGCACCCTGCAATTTTATCTCAAAATTTTATCTCCGAACAACGTTCCAGGCATCAGGCAGCATAACCATTTTTTGTAATAGTTTTCTGTGAAAGTAGCTTTTAACGCATTAAACGCCTTGAACGTTTGGTTCCTGTCACCACCACTGTGAACAACTGTGACTCAGTAGGTTGATCTAGAGCAAAGCATTTCACACCAAACCGCTCTGAATGACTTTCGCATTTTAAGGTGTGCATTATGTAGAAATTTCCTTTTAAGGTCCCAACTTAAAGGAATAATTCTGTGCCTATGTGGTTTCTGACAATGTGTGACATACTGTTATCTATGAAATTGGACAGGTACAGACAAAAATCCAAATAAAATAAAAGGTGCATTCTGCTGCTGTTTTTTACCTATGTGGTGTACTTTAGTCCATTTTTATATAGTAGTGTGTCCTAAACTGTGAGAAATCATAGGTATGAGTCTATTTGAGATTACTAAACTACTTGGCGTGACTTGGGGCAAGTGATGATTTAGGTATGGTCTTAATACAGTATTGATGAGTTATGAACTTCCAATGCATGTTAGCTACATTGGCCTCGTAGCTTCAGTGCAAAACTAAAGAAGAACATTTCAGACACCAAACATATCTTGACTGATCAACTATGTTTGAGGTAAAAGGAAAATTGCGTAGATTTGATTTTGTACAAACTAGTGTTATAGTCAAGACCACTAGAGATGAGTCAAGACCGAAACTTGGACATATTGAGTCCATGCCAAGACCAACACTTTGTAGTAGTCGAGTCCGTGTCATTCATTGCTGTACATTCATTATCATTTGTTAAACATGATATATATTAATAGAAGACATTATATTTTACATTTATTATAAATCACATTATTCCCTGAAACCAAGACAAGATAGAAGTTCAAATGATGTCTCAACACCATAACACTCGAGACAGAGACCAGGCTTCAACACTATACTACGAACTATCTCTTTAAAAACTTTGTGAGGTATTTACAATGCACCATTTAAAGATAGACATTTATGAATGCTTATTTTGTCAGTCACAGGTATTTTAAGGAATAAACGTGCAAAGAAGGACACACAGTCTCACTAGTGTGAAGCACTGCTCTTATGAAGCATCCAAAGCTATTTGACTTTTAATGATGCCCGTCTTGTGGAGAATTTTCAACCTGCTAAACATGATTAAGTGAATGAACTATAAGACAGTTCTATGTAGAGGCCTCACATCTAAAAATCATAAACATTCTTTTCTCTGTAGCTGCCAATGGTAAGCTGCATATGTTATGAAGGTAATAAAGTGCATTTTTGTGCTACTGTGCTCTTGGGGATCTCACTGTAGGTTCTCTTTGTTGTGCAGTGAAGGAGCAGAGCCAGCAAGAGCAGCAGCAGCTAAAGCAGGAGTGCCTACACCTTCACTCGCGCCTGGAAGCCCTGCAGGCAGAGTGTCAGAGAGAGAAGGAGGTGAGGGAGAGGAAGAATGCATAGAAAAGGAGAATTTTTTACAGCTGCTTGAGTTTAGTCTAGCTTTTGGTGCATATGAGCATAACATGAGCACTAACCTAAAAACTTTGTGAATCCAAATGTTTCTTACGGTTCTTATGGTTCCACTGGGTTCTTTGCCCTGTATTTGCTAACATTTTATTTATACTTGCTATTTAATATTTGCTTAAAGGGTCAATATCATGGAGCACAAAACTTTTCCCACTTATTTAAAATAAAAGAGTTTGATAAAGTTCAAGTCTGTGTAGTCCATGTATGGTAGTTGAATTCTTCTCTTGCAGTTTAACTCCACCCATTCAGATTGAAGTTATAAGGAGTGTTTCAAAAAGTTGGGACAGTAGGTAAAATGCAGATAAAAACAAAGAGCAGTTTTTTTTTACAGGCAGTTAAACAGCACAAAGAATATACATTTAATATTGTGCTTTATTAACTTTACTGATTTTTGTAAATATATGCTAAAAAGTTGGGACAGGGGCAATGTAAGATGGGGAAGTTTGTGGAATAATCAAAACGCGTGTTTTGAAACATTTCACAGGTAAACAGATGAGACCAACATTTCTCAACACACCACTGCATGGAATTTAGTGATTTTACCATCTACAGTCCACAACATTATTAAATAATTCAGAGAATCTGGAGAAATCTCTGTGCGAAAAGAGCAAAGCTAACGGCACTGCAATAAAAACTGGCATGTTTCTGTAATGAATATAACCACATGGACTTGGGAATACTTCGGAAAGCCTTGATAGTAAACACAGTTCATCACTCTATCTGCGAATGCAAGTTAAGACTGTACTATGCAAAGCGGAAGCCACATATCAACAACATTCAGAAACACCGCCAACTTCTCTGGGCTCATCTGAGATGGACTGACACAAATTGGAAACATGTGCTGTGGTCTGACGAGTCCACCTTTCAGATTGTTTTTGGAAATAACAGATGTTGTGTTCTCCAGGCCAAAGAGGAAAGGACCATCCCAACTGTTACTGAAGCAAAGATCAAAAGCCAGCGTGTGTCATGCTATGGGGTGTGTTAGTGGGTAACTGCACATCTGTGAAGGGATCATTAATGCTGAGGGGTACGTTCACATTTTGGAGCAACATATGCTGCCATCAGGGACGGCTCTGCTTGTTTCAGCAAGACAGTGCTAGATTGAATCTTGAGCAAGTGTTATATCAAGCAAGAATGGAAAGAAATTCCACTTTCACAACTACCAGAATTGGTGTCCTCAGTTCCCAAACAATAACTGAACGTTGTTGAAAGGAAAGGTGATATAAACAGTGGTAAACATACTCCTGTCCCAACTTTTTTGGAACTGGTTCAGGCATCAAATGTATGAAAAATGTATATATACAAAATTAGTTGAAACGTTAAACGTCTTGTCTTTGTACTTTGTCCATTTGAATACAGGTCAAAAAGGATTTGCAAATGATTGCTATCTGTTTTTATTTATATTTTATTTAGATTTATATTTTTATATTCCTGCTGTGTGAACTTCTTTTGGAAGTGGGTTTGTACATAATCCCACAGAAATGTCATAAGTGTATGCCAGGGAAAAAATAAAATGCAAAAAATGTCCCTTTATTCATCAACTGAATCATCCCTGTAATTCTGGGATGCCCAACTTTATTCCCAAAGAGCTACCACCCTGCAGAGTTTAGTTTCAGCATGCACAGCTATAATAATGGGACGCTCTTGAAGGCCTTCATTATGATGATTGACAGGGTCAGGTGTGTTAGATTAGGACTGGAACTAAACTCTGCCGAGTGGCAAATCTCCAGGAGCAGAGTTGGGCAGCCTCGCTGTAAATCAGCACACGCTGATTAGTCAGACGAACAGTTAGTTCCAGGGGAGATAATGTCTGTGGAGCAAAACAAGCTGAAAGCACACATGATTGTAAATGAGAGTGGGATGAATTGAAATGAGTCCAATTATGATTACCTTAATCATTGCTTTGGGGCCTTTTAGGGTTGCATGTATAGTACTATACAGTCAGAGATCACCCTTCATTTATTTAATTTCCAGTCAAAACGGCCATTAAGTACAATTTACTCATTTTTCAGCGTGAGATAAAAGCAGAAAACTATTTTTGCTATTTATCAGTATTTTGTGTGTCCACAACTTCATGACAGCTTCCTGCAGGGATATTTTTCACACCTCCAAAGTTCAGTCTTAGAAAGTTGGTTGCATTTTCTGCTTCTCACGATCCAAATAATTCCAAACATATTCAGCGATGTTGAAGTCTGGACTCTGGAGTGACCAGTCCATTGTTCTGAGAACACCAGCAGCTTTTTTGTGTGGTTTGTAAATGTTCTGTTTTGTCTACTTTCTTTTCTCATTATCAGCTTCTTGACAGCTGCACATCCTTTCAGATCCATAGTGTTGAGTCGTCTTCTCACAGTGGAAGGATGGAAAGAAACACCTGTGGATTATTTCCGATCTGAAGCAAGAGTAGAACTTGTTTTTGTCTTCTGCCTCAAAGATGAAAGCTTTTGTGGTCTACTAGGTCTTGCACAGCTGTTAAGAATCTCATTATCTCAATAACTTTTAGTCATTTAGATTATTTCATCTTCTGTTTTGGGAACACCTCCTCTGACTTCCCCCTTCTTTATGCAAGTGGACTGTCTTCTATCTAATCTCCTCAGAAATATCTCCTGAAACATGAATAACTTGTACTTAATGATTGTTTTGACTGGAAAGTGAGTAAATGAAGGCTGGTCTCTTACTTTTGCACAGCACTGTATGTGCTAATTATTTTTAAAAGTTAGCCAGACAAAAATTAATGATTAATTATGAAATTACTTATGAAAATCAAATTGGATTGTGGTGAAATGTGAGATTTTATGATGCACCTACACAACTGTATTCGCATCTAATCGTTGTGAGGTCAGAGATTTATTTACTGTATTTTATGTGTCTGTTTGCAGGAGAAGATGGTCCTGAGGGAGCAGTTGTGGGAGAGCAGGGAGCAGCTGCAGCAGCAGGCTGAGTTCTGTACTGGTCTGGGCGCCGCCTCCTGTACTCTGCTCTGGAGCGCCTCCCGCAGAGAAGAGGCTGTCAGGGACATATTGGCTGATGTAAGTCAACCTGAAAAAGGAATTCTTCTTCCAGAAATACTGACCAAGCTGTCAGTTACTGAATGGCTAGTACTAAGTGATTTGAAGCATTTTTGTTTATTGTTAGCGCTATTAACATTTTTGGGCAACGTGTTGTGTAAAAGCCTTTATACAATGAGTGTGATAAATTCATACGCCAATATATCAATTCAAACACGTGTAAAACTAATGAAAATAAACAAAGACAGTCTTTCAGGGCACTGAAAATGCGATGCTGCTTTATTCTCCATTCATTTGTTGATCTCTCACTGCTGTCTCTAATGTTGACATGGCGATAACCAAGCTGAATAATTGGCTGTATCTGAGCTGCTAGAACTTTTTGCCAAATGTCAGAAAGATTAATTTGTCTTTTGCTTCGCCACTTTTCGCACTAGCATCTCCAAACGCTGAGCTACAAACTGTATCACTCATTATTCTGAGTTGGAGTGTCTAATTTATTGTTTTGACAGTCAGCTGTGGAACACTGTATTCTCCTCACTTATTTGAAATAAGAATTTAATGAAGTTCCAGTCCATACAGTCCATGTACAGAAATCAAGTTACTGTATTGAATTTGTCTTGTCATAAAAAAAGGGTATTAACATGTATGAACCTATTTAACCTACAGCAGTTTCACCCTGCCCATTCACACTGACGTTGTAAGGAGTGTTTACCGTTCATGCTGCTTCTTGAACAAGGCTCATCACAGGGCAGACAATCAGACGAGAGCACAATTACATATGTTAGTCTTATGGCACAGCAACAGAAACAGCCTGTTTAATTCTAAGGAATGAAAGAGAGGTTGGAAAATGGTCATCTGCAAATGAATCAAGGCTATTTTGGTACCCACAGAAATGTAATAAGTGGATCTACACATTGCATTTGTTGTGTTTAAACAATCTTTAAACTCTTAATATCAACCTGAAATCAAAATTGAATTGTTTTCAGTGAAATTTGCCATTTTGAGTTATGAATATGCCATGAACATGAATTGTGTAGATTTGGTGAGTTTTTAGTTTTGGGAAATGTCTGGGTGGTCTGCTGCCAGCTGAAAATTCTGAAGGAGAATCCCTCCTCTCCCCCAAACACAGGAACAACAGCAGGTTACACAGTCACTATTCAGCCAACCCACAGATATAGTATTTAATCTTTACTGACCAATCAGAACTAAGATAATGTTAGCAAGATGTGAAAAGAGAGTCATGTTTCGTGAGTGGTGAAGCTTTCAAACATTGGGCAAAGAGTTAATATATGGAAATTATGGAAGACTATAAGATACTACTTCATTTTTAACTGAAATTGAGTTTGCAGTCAAGGTTCTCCTGTGAAAGATGACGATGTAGGCCTGACAGTATTTATCGTTATCCCGATAAATTACATTACAATATGTCACAGGAAGCATGTTTGGTCCTGTTTCACTGGATTTAGTGCAGTGTAGTATGTGAAATGTTAAATACAAGAAATTGTATTAATAGTTTTTCATAGTATGATTTGTAAATGAAGCACTACTTTCTTTGTTTGAACTTACTGGATGTCAGAAAACATAAGTGATTTGACTTATGATGAAAATGTTTTGAATTATCATGATATCACTATTGCCCACCTTGAGTCATATGGTCTGCTTTCTTCTGGATTTCATTTGCTGCATTTTGAACACTATCCAGTAAAAAATGTCAATGTACTCACTGCAGCCAGCAGAATATCCCACATTGAAGCTAGTTTGTTGATTCTATTTATATATTGCGTATCTCACAGTCAGCAGGGAGTTCAAAATATGTTGTACCTTCCACACACACACACACACACATACACACACACATATATGTGTGCTTGTGTGTGTGTATGTGTGTGTGTGTGTGTGTGTGTATACATGTAGTATAAAAGGAGGAAGTCTGTTTTAGTTCTGTTATCTACCCCTCTTTTTGTGTGTGTGTGTGTGTGTGTGTTTGTATAAAGGGAAAGCTGGAGCCATTCCTGAAAGTAGCAGGTCAAACTCTTGAAAGTTTTGTCAAATCTCTGGATGAAGAGGAAAAACCTCAGCAGAACTACAGTTCCCATGAGCATCAGTTTGTGCTAGCACTGGCAGGTGTCATTACCAGTAAGGGCTCAGACATTATCTTGTAATTTTGTACACAGTTTGTACAGTTGTGTGCACAAGTTTGGCACTTTTGGCCAAATTCCATATTTTGTTGTTATTTTTTAAGTGAAAAGAAGTAAACACAACCTCTGCAGCAAACTAAATAAATAAAAACATTTTTATACAAATGTTAATGTACAGTTACTTTATATTTGAATAACTTAAAAAATGTGGACAGCCTTCCTGTTTTAAAGTCTGAGAATGTAATTAACTTAAGCCTTAAATGACTCATTAGGACTGGTTAAGGAGGGTCATGAATAGCCATTAGGATTTATCAGCTGACACTTATGGTAGGTTTGGTGGAAAAAAGGAAAGTATTTGATGAAAATAATGTCTTGTCAGCCACTAAGAATTCTATTTTTTAAGTTAATCAAACATAAAGAAATTACCATTCATAGAAAAAATCAAATGAATATGTTGCAGATCTTGTGGTTACTTTGATTCAAAAATGGAATGGATGCCCACACTGTAGCATATAACTGTCAATGACTGTCACTTACACAGAGTGTGCCCCTATTTGTTCATAATAATATAAAATATTTTGGAAATTGTTAAAATGGGACAACATGTACTTGGGTGGATATCAGTAGACTGTATGGGAAACACTGCCAATAACTTTTCAGATATTTTTTATCTGCATGTTCAGGACAGCCTCATAAAATTAAATAAGTAAATAAATAAATAAGTGGAAAAACACAGCAAAACCCTCATTATCACAAAACATGGTAGATGATAGAACAGTTCACAAGACAGCAGGACAAACTATCTGTTTTTTCTACAAATTTATGCGTAGTTTGTTGATGAAAGGTGATGAACACGGTGAAGAACTGAAGGTTGCTATTTAGCCCAAAATCTACTATCACGTGACAAAATTGCTTGAAAAATCGAGAACCAGTGACGCCGTAAAAACAATATGGAATTTTGTGCTGCTGTGGGGACGGTTGCTGTGATAGTATTAAACAGCTGTACTAAAGTACTTAAGATGTCTTTAAAGAACTCAAGACTCAGCACTGTCGTTATTTTACAGATTTAGCAGCTGTGTCGAGTGGGAGGGACTTCATCTCCAGCTCCGCCCACATCCTGTTGGACACTCTAATGCAGCTGCTTGGGCTCATGAAGCCAGGAGTGTTTCCAAAACTCAAAGTGTGGGTTGAAACTCACAAATGCACAGACACTCATACATTCTCACTCAGTGCAAAAGTCTCTGTCACCTCTGGTAAAATGACGTTTTGTTGATTTTCTAAGAAAATAAGTAAACACATCCTTTACAGAGTATACGCTTTTCCACACATTTTAATGCACAATTACTGTTTATTTGCTGAATTTAACATATTGGTAGCAACCTGCTTTGTATTTAGTGTTTTTTGTGATGTCACAATAACCAATGCATTTACATACATCTGCCTCTTCATCCTACAGCAGTTTAGCTCCACCTATTCACGCTGAAGTTATTAGGAGTGTTTCAGCCTGGACTGCTTTCTAAATCAGGCATAATACAGGGCAAACAATCGCAACAGAGCTCATTTATGTTCATCAGTTTTAAAAGAGCAGCATTAATGGCCTGTTTAATTCTAAGGCATCAGGAGAGGTTGGAAAATGGTCACGTTAAAATTAATGATGTCTTTTTATTGGTACATAAATGCACACAGCTGCCATAAATGGATGTCAGGGAAAATATAACATAAGAAAAAAAATGTGTCCTTTAATTGATAACAACTAATTTTGAGAATTTAAGTAATTACAACTCAATTATTTAAGTACAAATAATGTCAGGGCTTTCAGTGCATATGCTGTAATGAGTTTTCTCAATGTTTCTCACTGACACTTTTCTTTATGTGTGCAGGTTGATGCTGATGGCTTTATATAACGTCAGCATCAGTGTGAATGGGCTAACATACATCAGCGAAAGTCCAGCACTCCTCCCCCTTATCTGCACCCTGCTTAAAGGTGTGTGTGTGTCTGCATGTGTGCATGAGTGTGTGAGTAAGTGATTGCAGCTGAGGCAGGCCTCCAGAGGCTTTAGAGTTTATCTGATCTCAGCTTTGACGTCATGACAGCTAAACTCACGTGCGGAGGAGGGGAGGATTAAGAAAAGCCCCCACACTTTCTCTCTCTGTCCTTTGCACGTTGCTTTTTTCCTCTCTTTTTCTTGCGCATGTAACAGTGCATGTTAGTCCAGTACACATTCACCTCCTTATATGTCCATTTTTTAGTCTCGCCTTTAATCTCACACACAAAAAATTAATTCAGTCACAAACCTCCAGCTATCCAAAAGTCAGAGACCGCCCTTCATTTTCATTTCCAGTCAAAATAGCCTTTAAGCATGAGCATTTTTGAGATATTATCTCAAAAAATTAGGTAGTATTTCAAAGTAATGACCTGTACGTCACAGAATAATGGCATAGCAGTCCACTTAGTAATGAAACAAATAATAAAACAATGCTGGATTTTTTTTATTTTTAGTGCTGGAATGGGCTTCCAAACATTTTTCAGTAATGGCTTCTTGACAACTATTCGTCTATTCAGACTGGTCCGTGTTTTCTCATTTTTATTCATTTTTTTCAGATCTAAAGCAAGAGTGGAGCTTGATTTTCTCCTCTCTCTCGAAGATGAAAGTTTTAAGTACTGTTTATCTAACATAAAAGTTTTGGTGGTCTACCAGATATTGCATGGTTGTTATGAGTCCCATTTTCTCTATATCTTTCTTTTTTATGGAAACGCTGATCTTAATTATTGACTTATTTTCCTTTGATTTTGCTTTTCCTTATGCAAGTGAATTATTTCCTCAGCAGTATCTCCTGAAAATATCTCCTTAAATAACTTGTACTTAATGGTCATATTGACTGGAAATGAAACAAATGAAGGGTGTTCTCTGATGTTTGCACTGTACTATGCATTTGAATGAAGTCAATTCAGCGCTTTACTTGTTCCCATGTTTCTCCCTCCCTCCGTCTTAGACCGGGACTCAGAGGTGTGTCTGCAGGCTCTGCGGCTGCTCCAGTCTCTGCTAGTAGAGGGCAAGGTTGTGGAGCAGCTCACCCCAGACCTGCTGAGCTCTCTGCCAATAGGACGTGTCTGTCAGCTGACCTCCAGTCGCCATGCCACCCTCAGACAAACGGCCCAGGAGGCCCTGGAGGACCTAGAGCGGCTCACCAACAACCAGAACCCGGCCCATGAGAAAGAACAGTGAGGCTTTGGGCATCTTTAGACCATTACATTATTAATTATACCCTTGCAGTTAAATTAAGAGCCAGTGTATGTACACTGCTGGCCCAGTCCAGACAGAACAGTGTTCTAGGTTCAGGCAAGTTCTTCAATGGGGGCTTTCTTCAGTAGCTCTAATTCTGTTCATCATTGGTAAGTGTAATCAGTTAAAAGGGTCAGAGGTCACAGAGCCAATTAAAAAATGGCTCACTGACCTCCGGGGTGGTCCAGTGGGTAATAATATTGGTTTAAGTAACCAATGTTACCTTTTGGTTTGCACTGGATAGGGAGGATTATTGGTTGGTCTTTAATATATAAAAAATATTCAACCTAATTTTCAACCTAATCTCTATCTGCGATGTCTGCAGCGTATCGCTGTTGTCGGAAGAAAACCTCTTCTTCAAAAAGGTAACTTTACAGGAGAAGGAAAAAACCTACTTTACTTTTAATGTAAGTCAATGAAACCATCCTTTTTTCCAAGTTATTTTGGACCATTTCTTTTGGTCCATTCTTCATAAAATTTACACACAATGTAAAGGGCAACAGGCATTTTTAAATTATGTTAAAAACTGCAAAACGACAAAAATGGAGATACGAGGTTTTCTTCTGACAACAACGATATGGTCATTTACCATGGATGATAATGTTGCTGTGTTTTTTGCGTGTTTCCCTGTACATAGAAAAAGTCCATTGACTTGAAACATGTTCTCTATATATTGTCTCTAGATATTTTCCAATGTGTTTTCGCTCAGGTTTTCTGCTTGTTTCTAAGCACATGTTAATCTGTCAAACTCTTTAGATATGGCAGATAAAGCTGAGGAATGCTGGAGTATTCCTTTAAGCATGCAGTTCTGGCTTGCTGTGATTGTATCCAATTTTTGCACTTAATAACCAGTGTCGATAACATGTTCCTGTTAATACTATTTCTAATGTCTTTGCATTGTTTCAGTAATAAAAAGCTGTTTTAGGATCACCAATGATGTTCTGTTAACCCACCAAGGTGTGACAAAAGATAAAAGAAGCTTTGTGTGCCTAACTCCGCTGTATTCACTGAAAGGAAGCAGTCCCATGAAACAAAGTGTCACATTAGAGACTCTCAAATTAAAGGTGAGCTTCCTGGATGAAGGTCAACAGAGATTGATGATTTTCATTGATCACCTCTGTGGGTGGCAAACGTGTTCAGTCGACTCCGCTCTGATTACAGATCCATGTTGTGGATCCTAAATACATTATAAACCTCTAACACTATAGGAAGTAGCCATTCCCCTGGCTTTATCTCTAGATTTTAAGTACTATTTAAGTGGGCGGCAAGAGATAGCTGCATTTAGCCATTCCAGTACGTAATCCTTGCTAGACTGTGGGGGTTATATTCGGTTTTATCTGCAGGGAGAAACCACATAATACACTATATATAGTCTAAACTGTGGGTGAGTTCATGCAAGAGATTAGTCAGGCTAGGAGATAGCGGACTTCTTATCAGTCAGCGTTTGTGACAGAATACCAAGTACCGTTCTTGCTCCACTTTTAGTGGAACTGCATTAAATTGATGACCTAAATGGAAAGTGAAAGGGACAGATAGTCCAAATATTGCATTATATCACAACTGTCGTAAGAAAAAAAACTTACATTTCTGAAATGGTAACTTTATAGAAGGAAGTAACATCCTTAACTTCAATGCATGTTATTTTGTACCATTTCTATTGGTCCAGTCATCATAAAACGTTCACACAATGTAAAATGACATCCACGAGACTAGTCTAAAGAAGAATCTAAAATTTAAAAAAAAACTGGACTCAATCTCTCTGGACAATAATTATCTATTTTAAGAGTTCCCTAGAGGAAGATTGCACTTTCAAGCCTAGGTCAAATGGAGCCCATGTGTAGCTGTGCACTGTCCCTAATACTGCTGCAAATAACATCGCATTATACGCTCAATGTGACCAGCTGCAGGTAGACACTCTTACAAGCACATGTGACCTTTGCCTGCTGTCAGGAGCATTAGCTATACAACAAGGAGCACACTGCCAGAAGGCTTTACAATGACTTCATGCGCACTGTTGATTAAACCTCCATTAGTTCAGTGCTTTGGAGGTATTTAAGCAAGAGAAATGTGTGTTCATTGTAAATAGTCCTTTATAACTTAGCCATGTGCTGATGGTTGTTGTTGCAAAGAAGGTTTTGAGTCCCCACAAATGTGTTATATATAACGTTTTGACATAGTGATAACAGCACAGTACAGAAATTTCATTTCAATTGAAATTCAGCTTTATTAGCATGACCGTATTTAAATACAGTATAACCAAAGCATCATTGATATGACAAGAACATTAGAGAGTTAAGAAGTCTTTTTTATCTTTTCAGACAGAGAAAAGAAGTTGAGGTTAGGTAATAAAATTTTAAATTCTGAGTTCTATGAAACTGTTACAAACAACAAGTAGAAATAGCAGTTTAGAGTGGAGATTTGAAAGGGGGGAAAATGAGAAAATGCCTAAAGATGTCCCTCAGTTCATTGCACCCCAGAAATCCTAGTTGAATGAACAGTGACAGTGTCTATTTGTGTCCAGCTGGACACTGGTAGGGGTTAGAGGAATAGTTCAGCCAGAAATCACATCACAGTTTTCCCCTTGCCACAGATATATATAATGAGTCAAGACGTATTTATTTAGTTTAGCATTAGCTACAAGGCTAATGTGAGCTAATGTGGCTAATAAGAAAGTGAATCTCGTAACTGACTCGTTGCACACTTGCTTTGAATTAAGTCATCTGACTTATTGTCACGGTCAAAAAAAAATACTTTGAATGTTTTTTGAAAAAGCCAGCTGCTGTTTAAACTGTGTAAGAATTTCACAATGAATGGAGCAAAATAAATGCTTCAAACAGGGAACACCTTTTTCCATTAACTTCCATTCAAAGTTACAAATGTTTTTCCTTCTCCTGTAAAAGTACCATTTTTGAGGGACAAGGTTTTGTTCTAACAGTGACAATATACTTGCTTGATTTCTTGTTAGCTACATAGGCCTCAGTGCATGTAATCTTGCGGTGCCAGACATAATCTGGAGAATACACCTCTAAGGACAACTTATTACTGCATGCACTGTGTTCTCCACAACGGGACTCACATCTACATGCTTATTTGGACTTTCTGGGGAGAGTTTTAAGCTATGCTAACTTACATTACATCAGTGGGCTAACGGCAGGCTTGTTGTCCTTTATTGTTGACCAGCACATTATCACCCCTTACTTGGAGCTCCAACTTCATGAGGCATTGGATCGGTTTAGAAATTACACACTCAGAGTGTTCCTACCTTAATAAGTCCACGTTCTCACTCACAGTTAGCCCAAAATGTGTCACAGTTTTCCCATTCTTATTATGATATCACATCTAATCTGCAGGACTACAGTGCGTACAACATACTTGTATACTGTGTGCATTTTGTTTCACAGTGTGGACTACAGTGTAAAAGACCATTCCTTTAATTAAGCACAGGGGATTCTGTTGAATACTGTTTCCTTGATGAAGCTCATTATGAAAACTGTCCCCAGCCAACATGTCCTAGTGAGCTCCACATAGGTAAACGTAAACTGAGTGTCTGTCTTATGCATGATAAGCAGACCACAACTATTAGCTTCCATGGAACAGGATCTATCTAGGGTCTGATGGAAAAGACATGAAAAATTGCAAGCAGCTGCCAACTGTGACTGAGCCTTTCACAACAAGATAGTTGCTGGATTGAAAAAAACGTTTGTGACGTTCAAGGCGTTCATGACTCTGGTTCAGGGCTCCAGGTTTACCTTTGCATTTGTTACACATGGGTTTGTTTTGGTTGCAGCCCTGGTTTGAAAAATTGTCTGTCCTGAGGTGCTGTGCTAAAACAGTGGTCTATAATTGTTTCTTGTCTGTGCCAGTTAAATGGATTTTCCTGCTTCCTTAGTGATTCATTTAGAAGTGTATTTTGTAAGACTAACAGTGGGCTGGCACTTAGGCCCCCTTTAGGCATTCCAGCAGGGGCCCACAAAGATTTGTCCATCGGCTCACTATGTGGGCTTTAAATGGGGCCAAGGTGGGCCATAATTGGAGGATGATTGCTCACATGGGCTCTTATCGTATCTCCTAATGGGCTAATGATGGGGCCAGAACAATCTACAAGATATCCCAAAAAAACCCACACTTTTAACTCAACTGTGGCCCACATACAAAACCAGGGAGCCACTCTAAGTCCATGCCCAGTTAAAACCCACGTGGGCCCCACATGGACATGCTGGCTGGGTTAATACTGCAGGTCTTGGCCCGTGTAGCCCTGCCTCACTTGGCCAAGTCCTTCAGGGATTCTATGTGTGCGTGAGTGTTCACACAGTGTTAAGCCTATGCTGTAATTCTGCCTGCTCATGCCTGAAATCCCCTGTGTTGAATTAACACAGAGCTCTTGCAGTGTTTCATTTGTGTCTAGCTGGATTTGTATAAACACTGTGTTCATGCAGCATTGGTGGTTTTGCAGTGAGGACATGGTTTGCTGTTGGTCTCCAGCAGTCTGATTTTAAAAAAGAGCCATGGTGAGTGTTCAGAAGAGCTGACAGAGCTAATGCTCTCAGGTGTTACTGCTGCAGGCGCAGTGAGTGATGACACAGAGCTAAGAAGCTGTAAGGGTGAAACACTGGAAGGCAACACAGCTTTTAGCTTTTAGCTGACAGAGGTGGTTTGTGGGTGTTTCTGTGTGATTCAGCCTTACTAATAACCCTGTAATAACCCTGTATGCCACCCACACCCTCTTTTTCATCGTAAATAATGGATGCTTAGCTTATGCTAAAAATATGCACACACCTTCCACTATATGAGAAACACCTGTCTTGTGGCTCCACCGTGCTGATGCAGAGTATGAGACTATAGAGGACATATAAGGGAGGTGGACCTCATAAAGTAGCCAGTGAGTGAAAGTACAAGATAGGGGTTTCCAATAAAGTGGCCAGTGAGTGGAAGTACAATGTAGGGGTTTCCAATAAAGTGGCCAGTGAGTGGTAGTACAATGTAGGGGTTTCCAATAAAGTGACCCCATGAGTAAAAGCGCAAGATAGGGCTTTCCAATGAAGTGGCCAGCAAGAAATAGTACAAGGTAGGGGTTTCCAATGAAGTGACCCCATGAGTGAAAGCACAAGATAGGGGTTTGCAATAAAGTGGCCATTAAGTAGAAGTACAAGATAGGGGTTTGCAATAAAGTGGCCAGTGAGAAATAGTACAAAATAGGGGTTTCCAATAAAGTGGCCAGTGAGTAGAAGTACAAGATAGGGGTTTGCAAAAAAGTGGTCAGTGAGTGAAAGCACAAGAAAGGGTTTTGCAATAAAGTGGCCAGTGAGAAATAGTACAAAATAGGGGTTTCCAGTAAAGTGACCATTAAGTAGAAGTACAAGATAGGGGTTTCCAATAAAGTGGCCAGTGAGAAATAGTACAAAATAGGGGTTTCCAATAAAGTGGCCAGTGAGTAGAAGTACAAGATAGGGGTTTCCAATAAAGTGGCCAGTGAGTAGAAGTACAAGATAGGGGTTTCCAATAAAGTGGCCAGTGAGTGGAAGAACAGGTAACTGTTAAGGCAGATAGTGAGTGTTTATGCTATGGTGTTCAGAGTAACGTGCTATGAAATTCTCAGAAGTTCCACCCACCTTTAAGATACGTCATCTTAAAGGTGTTTTTTCCCTGTCTTTACACCACAACATCTCACTCTAGTGCGTCTGCTGAGGCGCCACGGTTACAAAAACAGTTAGTTTTTTAATGTGGCTGGAGTTCGGTTATTTTTGCCTGCTGGCAAAGTAGACCCCGCTGAAGTAACCTGAAAAGTCAGGACCCTCTAACAGAAACTTTATTGCTATATTTTCCTGAATAAGTTCTGATCGTAAATTCGCGC